GTTGGACTTGACCTTCCGCTGAGAGTGGGTGAGATTCCTCCTCGTCCTTCCAGTCAGTGATAAAATATTAGAAGCTTTCCTGAGCTGGTGCTCAGGAGGTGAGGAGGATCTTGATGAAGATGCTGGTTGTTGCACTGTGAGGATTCAGTGCTCAGAAGAATCGGTCTGGGTCACAGTAGGTGCTCTACAAAAGGGCTGCAGGGCTTCTTGGCCCATCCCTCTGAGCTTTCTTGGTGGCTTTTTTTTTTTTTTGGCACAGGATGCCAATAGCTGAGGAATGAGGAAGAGAAAGGAACTCATCAAAATGACAGCTGGGGACAAACTGGGAAAATAAGAAATCCTTCTGATGTAAATACTGCTCGTCCCATTTGCACCCCATCAGGTCTGTACCCCATTTTTATGTGGCTACAGTAAGCCTTGTGCTCAAGGGGTTTGACTTCAGCCTTGCATTTCCCTCCTATGCTGAGAAGTGAAAGGATCTGTGTCCTTTCTGACCTGCTTTCTGTCTGAACTCACTCTGAAGCAGAGAGCAGGTGATGTGTTTGAGAGCCCAGAAGTGCTTCAGTCAGCTGAAGCTGCCTTAGCCCTCTCTTCCAGAGAGGGGGAGTATTTGTTGTCCCAGGGTCCCAGCAGCAGAAGCGTGTGTTTCAGCGTCCTACTCCAGCGGGTATTGTGGGTGTAGGAACAAACACACTTGCTTTATTTGAACAAAGCCCTGCGTTTTTGGCCCTGACCAAAGGCTGCTTTGGCCCCGTTCCCTGTGGCACAGAGCAGGACACCACTTGAGGCGTATGAAATCTGCTATCTTTGCTCGCTGCTGAGGGGACACTGGCAGCTCACCCCCTCGGGGGGCTGTGCCTGGGGCTGCCTGCAGACCTGGGGGTGCTGGGGGGCACGGGAAGCAGGGGTGCTTCCCAGCAGAGGGCCCTTGAGCAGCACTGCCAGCTCCCGGTCAGCGCATCCCTAGCCCCAGCAGCTCGGGGGCTCCTGGCAGAGAGGGATGCACAAGTATGGCAGTTCGGTGTGCTCTTGGAGGAGCTGCTCTTGCTGGGAAGATAAGGGGTGTTTTTTTAAAGAATGCAGTCCTGGAAGTTGGTAGGAGACTGGCAAGGCTTGCTCACAGGGCTGCAAAGGCCAAACCTGTGTTGCTTCCCAGAGGAGTGGAACACAACTTGTGTTTCCCAGCCCTTGAGGTGAACATGCCACGCTTTCAGTAGCTAGCAGAAGTATTGTAAGGTACCAGAAGCAATAGCCCCAGTTGATGAAATCACCTTGAACCCCATGGTTCCATGAAGGAACTGCTGTGACCTGAGTGGCTCCAAGTGCTCCAGGATGGCTCATTGCTCTCAAGCAGACACGGTGCATTATTCATGAGAGGCACATCAAGCACTTCACAAAAACCCCCATAACCCTCCGGTGTTCTGCTCTGTCTTACTGCAGCTTAATGTTTTTCAGCACCTCCTGTTTCTACCTCTTCCAAATGAGTGAGCCAGGGCAGGGAAGTCAGTGGGAATTTGGCAGTTTTTCTTCCAAGGGCCCTGCAGTGGTTTCCCAGGGAATGGGCAGGCAGGGCTGAGCAGGTATTCTTACAGAGCCAGCGCCCCACTGCATGTTGTTTTCACTGCTGAGGCAGCACTGTTAGAAAAGTTTCCAAAAAGAATGGGTTTGCTCACCTTGGACCTTTACTAATCAGCTATCAGGCAGTGCTTGCTGAGATGCCATGTTCTGTCTAGATTTTTTGGCAAGTGGATGGAAAGGACAGACAAGTCCTGATCCTTGGTGACTTGAATACAAATATGAGAGCTAAGGAGTTGCTTTTTGTGGTTCCCTTGGAAATCAGCGCTATTGTACTAATTCAGCTGTAATACTAAGGAATGCAGTGCAGGAATTTGTTGAGTTCAGCAGCTAAAATGCTGCAGAACCCGTGTCTATGTAAAAGAGACCAAAAAACCCCTGAAACCTCAAGGTCACAAGGACAGCTGTGATCAAGGATCGAGTCCTGAAAAGGTGAGTGAGGGATTTTGTTGGTGTACAAAGGATCTGCTGCGTGCACAGGTGTGTTCAGGGTGAGCCGCTTTTGTCACGATGACTTGGCACTGACGTTTGTCAGCCAAGGAAAAGATACTGAAAGCCTCTGTGATAAGTATGCTGCGGTCTCTCTGCACCTAGATCCTTCCATGGCAATCTTTATCCTCTGAAACTTCCTGACTTAGGTTGAATTACTTGTGACTTAATCCAACGCAAATATTTTATCACTGGGTAGTGTGCACAAACCCCTGCAAGTGCAGGAGCTGCCAGTTTCCATCTCATTCAGCATCGCCTCTGACTGACAATGCTGTGGTCAGCATGAGCGGCTTCCGAGGAAACTACCAGAAATGCTGCAAGATATATTTATGGAATAACCTGCCCACAGGGAAAGTTTTGCCCCAGCAGTTCCACCGAGCGTGTGCGTGTATGTGTTCTCTAATCTTTACCATCAGAACTTTGCCTGTTCTCGTTATCCATACACATGTCAGACGGTGTCAATGACACTGATACCTTGCACGACCTCGCTGGAAAAGGAGCTCCTGAGTTAGCTGAGGGAGGAAAACGTGTGTGTGCTGGATGAGAAGGCAGGCCAGTAGTTCCTGTAGAGCAGCAGGCATTTGGGTGAAGGTGGTGTCTGTCCCGTGCCCTGTTGAGGCATCGCCTTGGCCGGGATGTCGGCGAAGGCCGTCGGCAGAGCTTTTCCTCACCAAAGCTTTGTGAGCGGGACTGAAGCCAGCGGGCTCCAAAGGCAGGTTCAAACAGTCAGCCAAAGCCTTCCCAAATCCAGCTGCTTCTCTGTGGCCTGTGCAGGGAGGGCAAAGCTCGTGGGCTGTTGTGCTGAGCGACGAGCTCCTCTCCGCTTATTAAACCAAGCAGAGAATCCTGGAAACGGCTGGGGAGGCTTGGCGAGGGAAGGTGCGAGCCGAGGGGTGTCGGCAGTGCCAGAAGGCACACAGACACGTGTGATGGACAAGTCCGCTCCAGCCAGAGGGTTTCCCTTTGTCAGTCACGGTGACAGCATCATTAGTGCCCTTTACTGGGTGTTTCTCTGCACAGAGAGCGTACTCATTTTTAAACTTGGTCAAGACCACTGCCCTGGCTCTCGATTGAAGGACTTGAAATGGCTCTGGTGGTGTTTTAGATGATTAAATGCAGCAATGTGATATTTAAAGACTGACTTGGAATCGTGCATCCTGATAAAGAACCATTTTTTTTTAGCCAGAAAATTCAATGCACAGGTTTAAAATGACAGTATTTGAAGTTACAGTGAATTGTCAGGAACTGGAATTAGTCCAGTTAATTAGGTTTCTTTCTGAAACAGTGAGCTAAGAGCCGGCTGCTGAGAAGCATCCATGAGGTGCCTTCATTGAGGGATCACAATGCGTGGGGGGATCCCAAAATCCCCATGAGTTATCTAAGTGGCAAAAAACAACAGCTATTTTCTCAAGTACCTAACGTGGCTTTTCCTCAGGAGCTCCCTAGATTTAAAAACGAAGTGAAGTGAAACTGGCACATCATTAAGGATTTAGGGCATGGAGACTGCAGTCCTTGCTTTTGGAAGAGGGAAGACATACAGTTATTTGGGTTAGGACTTGAGCACACAAAGCTTCTCAACTGATGTGGTGCTCTGCTTTTGTTAACACAGGGACTGTGTTAATTGAAATGAAATACAGTTGTAAGTGATGGGAGGCACCACTGTGCCCATTGGAAACTCTTTAGCCATTGAAAAACAGGTTCTTAAAAACCTGGATTTGTTAAAGGGAACGGAGGAGCCCAAGTCCTGACCCATTCATGTGCAGACTGTGGCTCTGAGATCTTCCAGGAAAACATGGAACAGCATGAGGGGACAGTGACTTAAACAGTGACTGGGGACAGCACAGGGGTGGCAGCAGCAGAAAGGAGAGGAGGAATTTGGCAGGGACATCCTTCTGCAGCGCTCTCGCTCTGCTCTGCAAGTGCTGTGGTTTCTGTTGCTGCTGCTTTTTCTGCCCAGCCAATGGATTGCATATTATTCCCTAGTACAGAGTTTGGATGGGTGACAAAGGTGGAGCTTGGTAGCTGAGGAGCAGCTGAAGGGGCAGTTGCTGTGTGGTAATCATAAACCCTGCTGAAGAAGGGGAATTTTCCCCCTGTGGAGCTACAATAGCCTCCTTTGTTCCCCTGAGAGTCTGTGCACTTCCCATCATGGATTGCTGTTCTGCCACGTTCCTTGTGAGCCTTTTGCTGAGCTCCAGGGCTTAAAAATGTGTTATGGATCTCATCAGCTTGGCCTGGACAGTGAAGCTGCATGCAGGAGCTAGAGCTGACTGAACAAATGTGGGATATTGGCACTGCTTCTCTTGTCCAACAGCAGTCTGGAGGGAACCTATGGAAGGGCAATAAGTGTCCGTGGAAGTGTCTGTGTAGGAGAGAGAGGAGGAAGTAGGACTGGGCTGGCAAGCAAGGTGAGCCTTGCCATGCTCGAAGTTAAGGAGAGGCAACATGTAAGGTACTATTTCTGTGGAAAATTATAACGAACTGACTAAATTATGGTTTCTATATTTTTCCCTGGGTCGGTTGTTGTTGTGTTTTTCATGTTTTTGAGGTTTCTGTTTGGTTGGATTCTGTTTGGTTGGGTTTTTTCCACTGCTATGTGCTTTTGGCCCAGAAGCGCCCCGAGCCGTGCGTTTCCAGCGGCAGGGAACCTGCCGTGGGAGTGCCACAGGCTGCCCGCGGCAGTATCCAGGGTCAGCATCCCCCCTGCTCGGGGGAATGGCATCTCCCGGCCTGAGGCACAGGGTGGTCACTGCCAGGCCCACTCACAGCGGCGGGGGGGGTCCCGCGGCCGCCCTTCCCTCCGCTTCCAGCCGTGGAAATCGGCACCTGCCCCGGCGCGGCTCGGAGCTCGGGGCGGGGAAGCGCAGCCCCGGCCCTCAGACTCCTCCTCCGGGCTCCCCGCCCCGGGCCCCGTGACGCCGAGCGGCGGCCGGGGATGGGATGGGACGGGACGGGCCGGGATGGGAGCGGGTGAGGGGACGGCCGAGCCCGCCGCCGGCTTTAAATGCGGGCCCGGGCCGGCGCCGCCAGCACAGCCGCGCCTCTCGCTCGGGCTGCCGCGGGCGCTCACCCACACGGACACGGACACGGGCGGGCAGGTGTAGGGCCCCCGCCATGCCCCACTGAGCCAGCCCGCAGCCCGTCCGCAGCGCCCGCCCGCCGCCACGGCTGCCCCGCAGCCCCCGCCCGCCGCCAGGCTGGAGGAGCGCCGCAAGCCCGAGCCCCGGAGGTGAGTGAGCGGCAGCGGGGCTGCAGACGCCGCGCCCCGGTTCTCCCTCCTCGGTGTCTTGTTTCGGTGGCCAGCTCTGCTGGAGCCAACTTTGAAAACGCTTCATGGTGCTGGAAAACTTTTTTTAGCGTTTCGGTTGATCTTCGTTGAGTTGTTAGCAGCCGCTGAATAGGCAGCCTCGTCTTCCCCAGGGTTTCCAGTTATCCACCTGGAGTATGGTTGTAGGGAGTGTTTTATTATCCAAGACCAGCTCTTCGCTGTTTGTTTGCCCTTTCTGTGCTTCCTGTGAAGCGCTGCCATCCATAGCGAGAGCACACGGGGAAACGAGGATTTAACCATCTTTAGGCTTGCTCCTTTTTTCTTTACCACGTTAAGTTACTAACGGATTTTTCTTGTGTTCGGAGCGCATCCCTTTAGCCCTCGCGTTCAGGAGGAGCCCTCGGATGCGCAGGGAGCTCCCCCGGCATGATGGAAAAAGGCACCGGGCTCTGGCAGGAGAGCGGCTCGGGGTGCGTGGCGGCAGCGCCGCGGAGTCGTTCCGCAAAGCTGCTCCTGTTAGTAAAGCTGGGCGCGTAAGGAGCAAGGTCGGGCCCTGGGGCACATCCAGCGGTAGCAGCTCCCTTGGAGAACTGCTCCGTGTGCTATATATAGGTACTTGCTCCTTTTGTGTCAGAGAGGTGAAGTTACTGTGCGTCTGGACTTGACTCTCTGCCTGTGCTCCCAGCTGCTTAGGGACTTTGTTCTGGTTGTTCCTATGATGTACATACTTTCTGTTTAAAAGACCAAAAACAACATAAAAAAACCAACCACCCAGAAACGGAACAAGAAAAGCTTCACTAGCTGGATTTAACAAAATGTGCCGAGTTGTATGTATTGTGTGTGGGACAGAATATGTTGCTAAGTGCTGGTGTGATAGGCTGCAGGAAAACACCTAGTTCTTATTCTGGTTGAGATCAGTAGGAAATTGTGCAGAGGCCCCCTGACCAAAGCAACCTTCAGGCTCCCAAACCCCAGCAACTATTGAATGAGAGACTTCATTTTGTTCTCACAATTTCTAGTCCTGTGCCAAGTAATTAAACGGGACTGTTTGCATCTGTGCTTGCTCAGAGCATTGTACATAAGCTGATCTGTCCTAGTCCTTTCCTGGACTGCCATTCCAGGCTCAAAGACTTTTTCTGGTGACTCCTGGATTAGATGATGGAAGAGTTAATTTTGCAAAGCCTGGTTTCAGCTGGTGATTTTAGCTCTCATCATCTTCACCTGCTGCTGAGGGTCAGTGGGATTGGAAGGGCAAATGCTAGTACAATCTGCCGGGATGCTTCTTCAGCTTCCTAGGAAGGAAACACAGACTTTCAAGTTCCAAAAACACTAGGAGGATTTGCTTGTAACTTACCCTTCATTTCTGCTGAGCGAAGGGTACGTTAATTTCACTTTTCTAAAAGCAGCTGCTGGACTTTAGGGACCTGCATTCCCAAGATTTCAAGGGACTGGCAACTGTAGACTGCTGACCTGGGATGAGTGGGGAGCAAGGTGAGGTGGTGGGGTGAGAAGGAATTACGGGTTTTTTTTTTTTCTTTTCTTTTTCCAGCTATGGGGAGGAGAGACGAAGCTTTCATTTGTGTGCACAGGGCATTCCTGGCAAGGTAACACCCTGCACTCATCCGGTCTGCTCCCAGCAAAGTCTGGCAGGGTTTTCCCCTTAAACTTCCATGTTACAATTTTAGATCTTGAAACTTCTCTGCAGCCAGAAAACAGCCTCATGTACTGGTGCTGTCTTGTGGTATCACTTGCAGCAGGTTTTTAAGAGGAGCTTTTAAAATGCAGTGGGTGTAGGGTAAATGCTTCGGTTACCGATGTCTTAAGCTGATAAGAAAAGGTTGAATTTATGCACAAAGTGCAGTTCAAAGGAAAACATCCCCGTGAGAAGGAAAAATCTATAACTCCTTTTGTTTTCAGATCTACCTGCTTATCAGAGAGGGTGGAGGAGCTGAGTGTGTCTCTGGCTGAAGGTTTTCTAATGCTGCCACCCTGGACAGCTGTAATTAATAAGCTGGAAGGGGTTTTGGGCAAGGTTGTGAAGGAAAATTGCTGCGTGAGAGGCTAAATCAAAAAACCTGTTCTTATTTTCCTGCCAGTAAGTGTGCGAACAGCTATTTGCAGTCAGAGGTGCTGCCTTGCCAGAAAGATGCAGTCATGAAGGGAAAGGTGTTGCTTTGAGAAAGGAAATACTGGGGGAAGTTGTGCTGTTTTGGGAGGTGGGTGCCCAAAAATGGTTGAGTTCAGCAAGTGATGCTCCTGTGTTCGTACGTGCCATCTGTTAGTGCGGATTGGCTAGTAAACCCATTTCTCTTCTCTTCTTTAATTTAATTTTTCGGCTTTTATGCCGTGACATTGTTATACACGTCCGTATCAAAACAGCATGGCTTTTACTGGTCTGCACCCCAGCTCCTCCCCTGGGCTGGGAGAAGCAGAGGGCTTGGAAGGAGGGTTGGAAGGTGCCTTGTTGCCAGCGGCATTGCTGGCGCCGCGGCGCCGCTGGGTCCCTCGGTGCTGCTGAGATGCCTTCGTGGCCCCACTGCGAGAGAGAGCATCCTTGTCACGCTCCAGCAACCCGCCTCACACGTATCTGCTGTGTGCATTAGGCTTAGAATTTGGGCTCTTGCTTTGAGCAAATTAAAAGGGTACTGATAACTCCTCGTTCCAAGTCAATTAGCTGCTTCCGGCTTCAAATCCACTTAGAAGGCTCACAAGGGGGGGAGTGCTCTTTGAAAACCCAGTAATAGCAGTTTATGGTTAATATTGATAAAGGAATGTGTGTCTGTGTCATTGTTCTGCATCTGGTGGAAGGAAAGCTCCTCTTTTGTGTTCCCTCAGAACATAAGGACTTGGATGGGGAGGCAGAGGTCTTTCTCTTGACTCACACTGTCTGGCTTGAAATGAAAATGCAGCTATAAAATGGTCAAGGTTGCAGTGAATTCCCACAACCACTCAAAGCAAGGCTTCTGCCTCCCTGCCCTTGAACTTTGAGTCGCTGTAGCATCTCGTTTCTCCTGAGTTTGCTCAGGATCTTGCGCAGTTTGTGACAGTAATGCTTTTTATTGCTGTTGGATAGTGTCAAAGACAATGGCTGCACCCATTATTGGGTGATAAAACAATGCGTAGCACAAGTGAAAAGCTGCAGAGCTCTCGCTTTTCAATGGCTTAATTACATTAACTGAAGAGATGAAAATGTCTTGGAATTACTGTCACACAATTATGAGTCTTTCACATAAGGAACATATTTGAACTTGCCATAGGGACTGGCAGCGCGGTGAAGGTGCGTGGAGAAATCTGAAAATCAGAGAAAGCGACGCCTCAGTTCTTGGCATTCAGTTTGATTTGGAACGGTGGAATTCTGGCCAAATTCAGTAGGCATGTAGGTCCATGCTGTTGGAGTATGGCTGAGCCTTCTGAGCACGCAAACGACCCTGGTTTTATCTGAATTTTCTCACCAGAAAAACCAGAAGAGTTGATTCCATGTCACCAATATCAGAATTCTTTGAGTCTGCAGCACAAATGAGCTTTCAGCTTCTGCATTCCAGAAACGTGTGCTCTTAGGAAAGTTCATTCTGCTGCCAGAGCAAAACAGAGACACTGGGGTGGAGTTAAAATAGATTTATTATTTATATATATAAATATGTATGGAGAGAGAGAATATGGCTGATCTATGTATTTTCTACTCCTAAGGAAATTCTTTTAGTGGAGGAAGAGAGTTTTCCCAGTGTTTCAAATCCTAGCTGTATTATATAACTACCTTTATAGGGGAACAGGATCATATTTCTGTTTTGCTAGCATATAATAAATACTTGCTAAATACTCTGTATTAATTCTTGAAATAAGCTTTAATTTTCCTTTCATAAATATTGATCCATCCTTCTGGCATCCCAAAGTGAGCTGAAGAACTTGGTGGTGGGAATTGTTCCATGACTTCTTTTAAGACTGAGGGTTACTCAAATCACTTCATTCTCTTATTAGTGATGATTATAAAAGCTATTTCATTTTATTGAAGTTATAGTTATTAGCATATTATTATGAACAATAAACTTATATCTAATCTAGGAATAATACAGAGCTATGGTACCTCTGCTTTTGACCTCTGCGAGGTGACTGCTGCTCATCTGTGAAGTTGCTGATATTTGATGTGATTGTTCCCCAGGGGAGATTGAATTTTACTTTATTTTGGAAGTTATTACAATGAGCTGGTATTATACAAGAAGTCCTGGTGGGTTTGCATGTCCAACAAATTTTTGCCTTGTTTCACACAGGAGTTATTCCTGTGGTGTGTTCTGTCTTTTTCTGCTATTTTTTCTGAGCGAAACATGCAAATGCTTTGATTTTGATGACTGTGCAGATGTGTAATCTGATGGCAAAGATGACAGCTGAAGTCTTGTGTGCCAGCTATTCAGCTTTACGAAAATTTTTCAGTTTTCTCTATTTTGTACACTAGGTGCAGAAACAGAAGTTGGGTCTCTTTTTCAATGGTGTGTGCAACTTGAAGATTATGCTGTTTTCCTCTTAAGTTTTTTTAATAAGTTTTTACTTCATTTTAATCACATCTTAAAGGTTTACTGAGCTCATTTCTACTCTTAACCTTGAACAGAAGGTTGCAAAAGTTAATTGCTTTTATTGTACCGGTGGCTGTATAACACTTCAGACACACTGTCAGCCCTTCGACGTAAGCGTAAAGGTCTTCTCATCAAGGCTGCTAAATATGATGTTGATAAGGATGAAGCTGGGAAATAGCTGCTCAGTAGCTCAATGAAAAGTGGCATTTGAGCTCATCAAACCTGTCTGTTGCACTGGAATTGAAGTGTATTTCTTATACACAGGAATTGGACCTGCACATTTTGCTGAGGTCTCAGAGTTAACAAATGTGGTCATCTTGAAGCGGATGTTACCTGAATTCTTGTTAAATCTGTCTAGTCTGAGCTCACTTCCCTGGCTGACACTTTGTGCATTCA